ACCCTAAACCCCTAAACCTTAAACCCGAAACCCTAAACCCTGAACCCTAAACCCGAAACCCTAAGACCCTAAACCCTAAAACCCTAACTTTGAAACCCTAAAACCTTAAGTTCTAAACCCTAAGTTTTAAACCCGACATTTGGTTAGAGTCTTACAGCGCAGGTTTTTTCAAGCAGTGGCGTTCAGCAGATGGAATCAACAGGTTTTATCTTGTCATATGATTGATGATATAAATTTTGCATTACCCATAAAAAGGAATATCATATATTATAATTCCCATAGTTTAGGGTCTGTAAGGTCATGCAGGATATATCTCATCAACAGTAGGGACCCTTAGGGGGCAGCGGGGACCTACCCCTTTAAGGGTCCTTATGATCTTGCGGTGCACCGACGACGAAAATTGCAGTACAGCCTGCTCGATACCAAACTCAACACCCCACAGACTCCCCCATATCCCTTAAAAAAAAGGAATAAAGCTCAAATCATATTTGGGTCCCTACTATAATTTAAGGTATATTCCTGAATTGAGGGATATTCGAGTCTCTGGGACACCAGCAACCCTAAACTCCTGCGGCACGAAGCGTGCTGGAAGCTCCGTCCCACTATAATTTGAATTGAATAACACAATATGATGTAATGTAACATAATACGATGTAAAACATCATAAAACCTTTACTCTCTCTCTCTCTCTATATATATATATATATAGACACACATACTTTTGCACATGTGTATATATGAATATATATATATATATGTATATAAATAAATAAATATATATATATAAATATATATATATATATATATATATATATATATATTTATATATACACATATACATATATATATATAATGAACACATAGATAGCTAGATAAATAGATAACGAACTGACTGACTGGCTGGCTGGCTGACTGACTGACTAACTAAATAAGTAAATCAAAAAGCAAATAGATAAATCAACAAATAAATGCTGCTACTGTAAATACTATCCCAGCAGATTCCTGGTGAGGTCCTACAGCCAGGCCGCCGCAGCTGCCGCGGCTGCGGCGACTGCGGCATACAACCAGCACATGGCGAGGCAAGGGACGAGGTGGTTCAATTACCAAAGGGGCCTAAATAGCCAGGTTCCTTTAATTAAGGGACCCTTTAACCGGGGGTCTATAAACCCTTTAACAGTGGGTCTATAAGGACTACTATTTAAAAAAAGGCTATTATAAGGGTTTAGTATATGGGCCTTAGCAATTACCGACACAATTTTGGGTTTATCCTCAGTATAGTATCATGGGCCCCAAGCCCTATTCGAATTTTTAGGGCCCCTACATTATCCATGCCTCCGAGAAGACTTCGCTATCGCAGAGCCATGAGTATAGGATTTCCACCACCTCGCATACTCCGTGCTGGACGGTCTTTGTGGCCGGAGACACTAAAGCCCACGATTCCCAACCCGACACCCCTCTACACCGATTCTTCCAGAATGTCTCCTTGCTCACTCCCCTAGCCCTGAAGCTGAAGCCCTGCACCTTAAAGTTTTCGCATTGAATCTGCAACTGAAATGACGAGGTATGCAGCCGCAGCAGCAGCTGCCTACGGGCCGCAATACTCGACTTTGCCGCCTTTCCTGCCATCGCTGGAGGCGCAGCAGCTGGGAGAGCAGTCCCGTAGCTCCGTTACAAAATACCACACCATCCAAAAAACACTATTCCAACTTTTAAAACACCCATTCATTCGGGTTTGGCGATTTACGGCTGCATATTCAGATTCGGTGTCGATGAAGAGAGAGCCACCATGGAGCCACTCGCATCACAGATGCAACAGCTAATAAACGGCTGTGATACAGGGCACTGAGCAGTTACGAACACATGCCTTAGGGTTCCTGCATATACCCGCAAAAAGGCTTTTCTGATTGTCAAGGCCCATGTATTATGCGCCATGGTATATGAGGTTCCTGCATAGTCTCACGAAGAGCCCCAAATCCTGAACATCAGAACCTCAAAGAACCCAAGCCTTAAAACCCAGGCGTAAACTTTTTGGGTTCTTATAATTTAGTAGGAATCAGAAAGTTTAACCTTCCATTTTTGTGGCTTGTTGGGGTAGTAAGTAGCTCTACCCCCCCCGACCTGAACCCACCAAAACTTCCCATGAGCCCATAAACATCCCTTGGGACAAAAGTTGGAGGTGAAGGGTTTGGGAGTTTAGGGGTGGATGCTTCGGGTTTACTTCCCGGATCCAAACTAGAAGGGTTGGTTCCTCATTATATTTGCTAGTATAATGTAGTATGCCCCCCAAACTTTATTCTAATTATTAAGGCCCCTACACTATTCAGCACTCTAAACCCTAAACCCTCCACCCTAAACCCTAAACCCACACTCCTGGGATTGCGAGGCAGAAACAACCCCAGGCTCTTGGCCGTCGCCGGGCGCAGTCACGGCCAGGGATGGGACCGGATGGGAAGCGATTCAGGATTTGGAGTTTAGGAGTTTAGGGTTTAGGAGCTTAGGGTTTAGGAGCTTAGGGTTTAGGAGCTTAGGGTTTAGGAGCTTAGGGTTTAGGAGCTTAGGGTTTAGGAGTTTAGGGTTTAGGAGCTTAGGGTTTTAGGAGCTTAGGGGTTTAGGAGTTTAGGGTTGAGGGTTCTCATGGGTCTGAGGGGTGTCCTTTAACATTCGAACACCCACCGGAGTCGCCTTACTGTCAGGGTAACAAAGCGGGGCCGCTACGGTTGATGATGTACATCCTGCATTACCTTAAGGACCCTAAGCTATGGGAATTATGGTAAATTCCTTATTATGGGTCATGCAGGATTTATATCTTCAGCCGTAGTGAGAGAGAACCCGACATCGGAGTTCAGGGGTTCAAGGGATTTGTTGGGGGATTTGGTGCAGGGGCTTGTGGTGTTTGGGTTCCGGTTCGAGTCCGGGGTACATGGTTTAGGTCTCATGGTTTCGGGTTCCAGGGTGTGAACAAGGCGCAGGGCCAGGGGTTTTAAATCAGCTCTTAGTTGCTCCGTAATCGGCAGTGCTAAGCCGGCTAAGGGCTACTTCGAGGGCTGCTATGAGGATCAGCGCGATACGGGTTCTTTCAGGGTTTTAGGGCTTAGGGTTTAGGGGTTTAGGGATGGGCGATTAGGGCTGAGTAGGCACGAATGGAACCCAGACTGATGGATGTACTTGTCATTCGCACTCGGACCGGGACTGCTTTACGTGTGACCGTTCTTGCTCGTGGCTATTGCGTTTCCCGTTGTTGGTAGAGTCTGACAAAAAGAGATGTGCATGACTCCGGGGTTCAGGCGTTTTGCGGTTCTTTGCAAGTTTGAAGGTAGATTAGCGTAGATACTAGAGCTTTTGGCGTGGAAGGTGCAGGATTTCAGTGTTTGAGGGCCTTAGGTTCGGGCTAGACCATCTGGCATTAGTGCTCAGCACCCTGGCCTCAAGTCTCCTTCGGGGGTTTTGAGGTTTAGGGTCTTGCCGGCAGAACCCCTACTGTTGATGATATAAATCCTACATGACCTTAAGGACCCTAAACTATGAGAATTATGGCGTATTCCTTGTTATGGGTAATGCAGGATTTATATCATCAACCGTGGTAGCCTTGAGCTCTAAGCCCTAGAAGGCCCTCCGCGCCGCACCTCGAGCTTCAGCCTTTGAAAGGCCTCGCCACAGCCGCTCTCTCCCGATGCCGCAGCCTCTCAGAATGTGTCAGGATTGAGGTGTAGCTTTTCTGGGATTTTGGGTTTTCGGTTGGGGTTTTCAGGGGGTTAGAAACCTTAAACTTTAAACCCTAAACCCCAAAACCCTAGGGCCCTAGGGTTTGGGCTTTCGGGCTCGAGGTTTTAGGACTCGTCTCAGCTCGAAGGGCTTCCTTGGGGCAAAGTTCCCCGGGCTTCTTAAGCCTATACTACAGCACCAGCATCGTAGTAAGAGCATCCCGGGACTTGCGCCCTAAACCCTAAGCCCCCAAAATAAGCCTGGAGCACCAGCTTCACTGTGGCGTAAGAGTATCAACTCAGACCAGGTGCCAGAACGATTCATACGGGTTCCGCCAAGTTCCAGCTTCAGCTTGTTTTACAGGGGCGAGGGAGGTAGGTATGTCTAATTTCCTGCAGTCATGCTGAGGGGTTCTGCGCAGCTTTGGGAAAGTGTTGTTCGACCCCCCAAGGAAGAGCCCACCCAAAGCCCTGCAAACCCCCCAAACCCACACCCTGTCCCTAAACCCTACCCTTAAACCCAACTGACCCCTAAGCCAGGAAGCACAAAGTCCAAAACCTTAATCCGACAACCAACTAAGGCTCGATACGCCAAGCTTTACACCCAAAGCCCGAAGACTCCAACCAAGCCTAATAGACCCCAAATTCCAAACCCCTGAACCCCGTGTCCTGAACTCTGAATCTTGCTACATCCCTAAAGCCTTGACCTTGAACTTGAAACCACCCGCCGGCTTCTCCTCAAAGCTCGAAGGAAGGGTTCGTTTAACCCTCCCATGCAAATCAAGCAAACAAACTGACGTACTATAAAGGTCTGGACGATTGGTCTTGGTATCCCCTCTCAGCCCCTACATGATCGCATAACAACATCACTATGGGAGTTTCAGAAAATTGGGGGTACCTAATTTAGGGGTCCCTATAATAAGGATCCTACTATTCAGGGTACTATATTAGGGTCCCCTATTTTGGGAAGCTCCCATATCGCAGACCCGGGGGCCCTGGTTGCTTCCCCGAACCCGAACTCCTCTTTGTAGGCCGAAACCTTAAGCTTGCCTCAACCCGAAGTCGCTTGATATAGGGGCCTTGCTAATTACCTTAGGGTTTAGGGTTTAGGGTTTAGGGTTACACTTTTTTTGGGGGTTCCTTATTATAACTGTAGTTATCATGGGCCCCCAAAACCCTATTCAAAATTATTAAGGCCCCTATAATAAACCCTAAACCCTCAAACCCTATTCTAAATTATTAAGGCCGCCCTATATTGAACTCTAAACGCTGAGCCATGTTGTCCTTAGCGTGCCGTTCATGGCCACGGCGCCTGTGGCGCAGATGAGCATCCGCCAGCTCCATGAGGTCCACCATTGGAGTCTTTGGGTTATTTGGGGTTTCTTATATGAAGGACACTGCTATTTAGGGTACGATATTAGGGTCCCCTATTTTTGGAAACTCCCAGATAGTACCCAGAGACTCCAATACCCCTTAATTAACGAATACTCCTTAAATCATATTAGGGATCCTATTATAATTTGAGGTATATTCCTTAATTAAGGGGTTTTGGAGTCTCTGGGCAAGACACGGCAAAGCCGGCAAAGCCTGTGGGGTTCAGGAGTTCTTCAAGGATCATTGGACTTAGCAACTAGGATTATAAATAAGGTAACTATACTTATAGGTACTTATAACCCTTATTAAGTCACTTAGAACCATACTTACTAAGTCTCATGATCCTCCAAGTTGGGCGTTTTGGGTTTAGGGTTTGGGGTTCGGGGTCCAGGGTTTTTGGGTTTAGGGCTTGGGTCTTAGGGTGTGACAACACTGCCTCTGGATTTATGCTGTCGTCACTTTGAGTGGCGGGTCTGCTTGGTGATGGTTTATCCGTGTTGGTGTGATCACAACTCTCACAAAGCTTTCTATTCCTTCCATTGTTCCATCGTCATGTGGGTGGTTGTCGAAATTATGGTTCCTTTTTGGGTCCGTATTATAATACGGCACAGATTATTTAGGGTACCCGAAAAGGGACCATAATTTTGACAACCCTCCATGTTGAAGCCATGCTATTCCGAGCTGGGGGCCCTGAGCCCGCAGACCCGACCCACGCCTCAGCCCTAAGCGCGTTCTAAACTGGGACCTGCTAGCCCGTAGCTGCAAATCCTTCTGCCACACCCTAAGCCCCAAGCCCTAAGCTGCCAAAACCCAAAGCCCAAAAGCCTCAAAGCCCTAAATCCTTATAACCCTAAAAGCCTAAACTCCGTAGACATGGCGCAGGCAGCGCCGAGCAACGGCGGCGGAGTCGCCGCAGCGGAAGACGCCGCAAGCGCTCGAACCTTGCCATGAGGAGCCCTTTTTTTAAAACAAGCCCTACCCAGAGACTCCAATACCCCTTAATTAAGGAATACTCCTTAAACCATATTAGGGATCCTATTATAATTTAAGGTATATTCCTTAATTAAGGGGTTTTGGAGTCTCTGGGTATAGAGTCTTATAGGGTGGAAGGGGATCCTTTTAAAGGGCTCTATAAGGATTAGTATAAGGGCTATCATAAGGGTTTAGTTTGGGGGCCTAAATAATTACCTGTAGGGTTCCCTTTAACGGGTTCCTTGAAGGGGTCTATAAGGCATCTATAGTAGGGATCTATCATTGCGGGGGTTCCTTGAGGCATTGGCAAGTCCAAGCGCTACTTCACCTTCGAAGCGTCAAAACCCGTCATAGCCCAAGTCCCCAAAACTTGTATCCCAAAGCCAAAACCCAAGACCGAGGCATCCTAATGCCCTGGGCATGGGATTGCTGCATTTAGGTGGGCTCTACGGCTTCAGTGCAGCAGCAGTTCCGCCGAGGGGTTGGAAATTGACGCTGACCCATGACGGTTTTATGGTTAATGGACCTGAGGAGGTTGTGATTCAGCCGCTCAGGCTCGATATACTGGTGGCGGAACTTCATGCTCATGTCGCTGCTTTTTGCCCTTTGCGACGGCATTGCCTCTTTTGCGATCGGCCTGGCATCTTGCTCACATCAAGACTTCGGAAGAGGGTCTTTCATGATTACTATATGTTACCAGTACTATTGCGGGGGTTCCTTATTATAGTTATAGTGTAATGGGCCCCAAAACCCTATTCTCATTGTTAAGGCCCCTACATTAATGCCCAGGAGCAGTGACCAAGAGCACCAGTCTCCTTGCAACACGATGACAGTCGTAAGTCCCGACCCGACAGTGTGTCCAGATCATACAGAGCCGTTCACTAGAAGATCCATCTGAAGGCCTACACCCTGAACCCCAAACTAAGCCCTAAACCCCTTAATCTACTAGCACGCCCCAAGTCTTACGAGGCCTCGTCTGCCCTGGACCCTCTGGTCGGCAGGGTGGGTGGGGAGCCTCAGAAGATTTGTCGCCTAAGCGATGGTTTCAGGGGGAAGGCTCTGGGTCAGGGGATACGAGTAATACCTACATAAATACCTATACTATTTTGAGGGTTCCTTATTCTAAGTATAGTATTATGGGCCCCAAAACCCTATATTATTAAGGCCCCTGTATTATACTGAGTATCAGGGATTGTCGGTGCTGGGAGAGGCAAATCTGCTGCCGTTGCTGTAAGGGCTAGGTCTACTACTGCCGCTGCTGCTCCCGCTCTTGCTGCGCTTTTTTGCTGCTTCTGCTGCTACTGCTGCTTCTACTGCTACTGATGCTGCTACTGCTACTGCTGCTCCTGCTACATCACGGCTGCTTCACTGCTTCCGCTACTGCTGCTACTTATCAGTCTTCTTCTACTATTACCACCAAAACCATCACCACCAGCAACAACAACACCAACAC